GAGATCGTGACCTGGCTGAAGTCGGACGCTTAACCGACTGCGCCACCCAGGCGCCCCACATTCACAGCTTTGTACTCACCTGGCGGGAGGGAGCTGTTCTATCCTTCCCCATCAACCCTTGACCCGAACGTGCACAGAAGAGGAACCTGGCCACACTGAAGGCTGTCCTTTATCCCCATTCCCCGTTCCATCCGATACAAACAGGGGTCCTTCCTAAAGCCCTGAGGCCTCTTGCTCAGAGACCCTCATTTTGCTTTGCTTCCCATTTTTGGCCCTTCCCTCTATCCTCCCAAGTTTCTGGGTTCAGAACTTCTAGTGGCCGGTGGACAGAGTTGGCATCCCCTTTAGGGACACTGGGGTCTCCACAAAACCATCCATGAAGACTGCCACCACATTGTGCTGGAAGGCTCCTTGAGGACTTAAGTTCCAGACGAGGAGGCGGGCTTGGGCAAGACTCTGGAGCGAGAGTCTGAGACTGTGGGCCTCAGTACCCAACGCAGCCAGCCGCGTAGGACCGAATAATCCGAAATGGGTTTTGCCATCACTAAACTTGGTATATCTTCTCTCTCTGCCATGATATTGTTAGTGTCTTCAGTTACTCTCTAGTGGAGGGATTTGTCCCCTGAGCAGCTCATTAGTACTTCCTGGGAAGAAAACAAGCTTTTAAATACATTGGCATCAAAGAGAGAGGAGAAGGCGCATTTAACCCATCGACTGCTGCCCAGCAGTGGGATCTGAGGTAGCGGGGAAACAAAGCGTTGGCACTGGGGACTTCGGGCTTGGCCGGGGATCACACAGTGTTTTGAGTTACCACGGCTGCGGCGCTGTGGAGCTTGGCCTGCACGAGGACGGACACCTCGTTGCCAGGAACCCAGCCAAGTCATTCTGCCCACCTGGCAGGGCCAGCCATCTCGTCTCGTTCTGCTGTCTGTGCTGCTGCCCCGTGGCTGTCCCGAGGAATGACACACTCAGCTGGCCTGCAGTGCCCTGATCCCTGATGTTAAAAGGCGATATTCAAGGAGCTCAGCCGAGCCTCCCCCCACCCCGCGCCCCACACACCAGGGAATTGTTTCCTGATTGATCGTGTTTCATTCAAGGAGACACGTCTGTCTCTTTTGCTGATGAAATCGCTATCAGACATCACTGCAATCCGCTCGAAGGGGAAAGATGGGGGAGAATTATTCACTAAATATTTTATTGTTGCTTTGCCTTTTATATCTGGGGGCGTAACCGTAATTACTTGGATAACCCGGATTTTGTCCTGCTCCCTAAGCCCCAGCTCTGATTTTGACCTGGATTACCTGGAGATCATTTAAATACAGCTCTATTTGGCTCAGGGTTTATAGACTAGGTATCCACAATCCCCAAGCCTCTTCTTTAAAAAAAAAAAAAAAAAGCCTCTCACGTTCTACTTCATTTCGTGCATCCTAGATCTCACTTTGGGACTTTAATTTTTGTTAATGTTTATTATTTTTGAGAGAGAGAGAGAGAGAGAGAGAGAGTGCACACGTGAGCAGGGAAAGGGCAGAGAGAGAGGGAGACACAGAATCCGAAGCAGGCTCCAGGCTCCGAGCTGTCAGCACAGAGCCCGACGTGGGGCTCGAACTCGCAAGTTGAGATCATGACCTGAGCCAACGTCAGACGCTTAAATGACTGAGCCACTCAGGTGCCCCACTTTGGGAGTCTTAAGTAATGAAAAATGAGATTTTTCTATTAGATTGATTTGCTCATTTTCTGAAAGTTTAGCCGAGTCACATCTTCCCTCAGACACTTGGTTTCCTCATCCATAAATTGAGGGGGATAATTCTCCCCATTCTTGGGATTGCTGTGAAAATTAAATGCGATAAAATGGGAAAGTCTTCTGGCCACTGTGAAACTCTCTGCCACTATTGTAAGAACACTGACCTGAAACTCTCTCGTTTCCAGCTCCGATATTACTAAAAAAGATCCAAGCCGAGATGTTCCCTGACCACTCTGGGAATGTAAAATTAAGCTGCCAGTTTGCAGAAATTCATGAAGATTCTACGGTCTGGTGGACAAAGGATTCCAAGTCAGTAGCCCAAGTGCAGAGAAGGTGGGACATTTGCCTGGTTACTTTTCATGGTTGTTGCTGGTTTCACAACGTAGTTCTAAAAGAAAATAGTGATAGGAAGTAAAAAGGAAAATTGAAGCTGAAACCCCACTCACTTAAGTATCCAAGACAAGTAAGGAACGAAGACAGGGGTCTAGACAGGGAAAGCAGGGAAGGGTTCTTACTCAGGCTCTGCCACCCCCGAGTCTTGTGGCCTCAAAGAATCATGAAATGTGTCATGATGCTTTTAAAATCAGGGGAACATGATAGGGCGCCTGGGTGGCTCAGTCATTTCGGTTTCTGACTTCGGCTCAGGTCATGATCTGACCGCTCGTGAGTTTGAGCCCCGTATCGGGCTCTGTGCTGACAGCTGGGAGCCTGGAGCCTGCTTCAGCTTCTGTTTCTGTCTCTCTGCCCCTCCCCTGCTCATGCTCTCTCGTGCTCAAATATAAAATGAAACCTAAAAAAATAACTTTAAATCAGGGGAACATACCAAATCATCTTCTAGTCTGAGGTTCCACAGCCCCAGGATTATAGAGCTCTCTTCTGTTTGTGAATCTGTGTTTTTTCTCGTTCACAAATTCCTACTAGCCTGCCAAATTTCAAAGCTAAGAAGGAGAATCCAAGGGAAAAAAAAAAAAAAACAATCCATGAAGTAATAGAAAGGAGCAGGTATTGAAGGTGATAAGTAACCATTTCTGAGATGGGAAAAGCCGTGTATTTCTGGGGCCCTAGGTCAGAAGAGGAGGGGAGGGGAGGGGAGGGGAGAGAGAACCATTGCCAAGAGTACCCGTGTGGAACAAAGCTGACGAACGGCTCCCTAAGCGCCTTGCTGGCAATAAATGCTTGTTCACGTGAGCCGTGGGCCATGGGCTTCACCCAACACACCTGAGGGAGTGTGGCTTATTCTAAAACAGATCACCTGGCTCAGTGGGCATAACTCAAGCCCCAGATGCTTCTTTCTGCTGAGGGAAGTCCCCGTTCAGCTCCCTGAGTCACGGGAGGTGTCCTGTCCCCTTAATCTCGTTGCAAGGAGCCTGAAAAAAGGAAGAAAAATCGAGGTTTTTTTGTATAACTAAATCAAATACGTTTGCTTGGAGCATACGTCTGGAAATTAGGCTCCGCATGCCATGGTGATGGCAGATTCGAGCTGTAATTTCTTTTTTTTTTTTTCAACGTTTTTATTTATTTTTGGGACAGAGAGAGACAGAGCATGAACGGGGGAGGGGCAGAGAGAGAGGGAGACACAGAATCGGAAACAGGCTCCAGGCTCTGAGCCATCAGCCCAGAGCCCGACGCGGGGCTCGAACTCCCGGACCGCGAGATCGTGACCTGGCTGAAGTCGGACGCTCAACCGACTGCGCCACCCAGGCGCCCCTCGAGCTGTAATTTCTATAACATCCCTCTAGAAAACCTAACTGGATTGTGACAGATGGAATGATGCCACGCAGCCTAAAACGTTGCCATTACCCTGCCTGTCTTATGTATGGCTTAGGAAGAATGATAATGGAGAATAAGTGGCTTGGCTTAAAAAAAAAAAAAACAACCAAGACCACTCCGTAGAGCTTTATAAAAAGAAGCACTAATCATTCATTTAAAGCACTTTCTGTAGCTGTCAGCCAAGGGTAATTAACCAGTAGGGTTTTGGCAATCTTGCTCTGAGCTCAGACTTGGCATTTGAATCTTTTGGGTCCATTTTCCATTTGAGATGTCTTTAGAAAACCTAGCCTCCCTGTAGGGAGCATACGTTAGTAGGCCTGCCATTTACTGGTGACATGTGGCCTGGCCTTTACACTTGACCGACGTTGGCTTCATTTTGTCTGGGCAGCACTGATTTGGGAGCACCCATTTGCCTTTTCTTCTTCTCCTCCCCCTCCTCCTCCTTCTCTTTCCTCACCACTACCACCACTGGTTTTTCTGTTCTTGGCACAGTGCCTGGAACTTAACAATTTGGGGCGGGTGGATGGATGGGCAGTATTCACTAGAAGAGTACCCTATTCAAAAACACCCTCAGCCATGGGTCCTTATTTACAGCAAAGACCCCCTTTCGCTTGTCCCGTGTTGTGTCTGTGTTTAGATTTTGTTTAGAGCTTTCAGGTCTCCTTCAAGCCCAGAGCACCTGGGTCAGTAATGTAACTGAGGTGAATTCTGAGCAGAAATGTTAATGACGGCCCCCAGAATTCACATTTCCGGTTCTTGGCTCTGCAGGTCACAGCCAAGGCTCCCAAATGGTTTTGATTCCTATTGCCTATTTGGAGAGAGGATGTTAAAGCAAACTTGCACCAATCATCCCCCACAGATAAAAATGAATTATGCAAACAGCTTATCGAGACCTTGTGCTCTAGCCAGCCCACTAGCCCCAAGTGTTAGGGCAGGGAAGCACCTGTTCCTTTCTCCTTAAGTGTGTTAGAAACATGCAGCTTCAGCACGATGAAGCGTTCCAACATTCATGTCCCCTATTGCAGGGCAGACGACACCTCGGCTGTGTCCTTGGCCGTCGTCCAAGCCGGTCAGAAGGACCAGGGCATCTACCGTTGCTGCATCAAGAACAGTTACGGCAAAGCGACCGCTGAGTTTAACCTTACCGCTGAAGGTAAGCCTCAGCCTCTCCGTTTCAGGCGATAAACCACGAGACACCCCCGCCCCCGGCCCCCGGCCAGAATGCCCACGTGCACTGAAGACCCTCTCTTCTTTGTCTTCTTCTAGTTCTGAAACAACTTGCGAGTCAGCAGGATGTTAAAGGTAAGCTGACCCGAGTTGGATGTCCAAGGACATGGGCCACTCCACAAAGCGAGAGCTCGCTCCTGGAATCAAGGGTTGAAACAATATCCCCATCAACTCTTCTAACCAAGTAGGGGAGAGCGCAGGAATGACTGGGAAATGAATGACAATTCATGAGCTATTTCAAGCTGGTGGCGAGGCCTGTAATAAGTGCGTGAGGCTACCAACATGCAGAGGTGTGGTATTTATGAAAGATCAGACTGGGGCGCTCAGTTGTTGAGGATGTGTCGGTGGGGGCCTTGGGGTCACACTCCTTCCTTGAAGCCTCAGGCTTGTGTCCAGCCCCTCCGCAGTGGGTTTTCAGCATCTGGCACTGACACAGCCTGGTTTGTTGCTTCGGTTTACTTCCCAGTTTGACTTACTAAGCAGATTCCAAAGACAGTCAGGTGTCCTAGGAGAACCCCATTCCTTCGCATCTTCATGGAAATGAAAGATGAGTTTTGGTGCTTTCCTTTGGCATTTTGGCACTGGTCCCGGTCCCCTTGATCTTTCGGATGAAGAAGCCTCAAATAACTTCTTTATCACCTTTCTTATTTGGTGATAAACATTTTATTAGTTGAATTCTCCTGAGGAGGAACAAATAACATTTTACAGGCTGGGCTCTAATTAAAAACTAATAAAACCCAGCTCGTGGGAAAGCCCAAAAGTGAATGATGGTTCAAATAAAACACAAGCTAGCACAATTTAATGATCGCACATGGGGCTTTCAAAGGAAAGTCCTAAGATTTATTTTTTTCCTTTCACTGTTTTATCTTTGTTAAGTAGACTTTCTGTTGGAAATTATAGACAAGATTGTTAATTATACCCAATACAGTACTATAGAAAACAAATTACCTTCTTCTTTCTAAGCACACAGTCGGAAACAACTTTTGTATTAAATCTGATGCATTTTTTAAGCACTGAGTGCGGTTGTTGTTGTCAATAATAATTGAGTTTTAGAAATTTGGGGATTTTGAAGGAGAATAGAATGGGATAAATATAATTCATATTTATTGGGCTGTATACATAAAACACTTCCTATATTCTTTAAGTGGTATTAGGGGCCAAATTGTTAAAATGAAATCATTTGTGCAACTAGAATTAAGAAGATTTGGGTTATATAAAAAGCATCCCTTTTTCTAAGTGTTCCAGTTTTTGAATTTAACTTAAAAAAAAAAACCTATACTTTTCTCTGTAAATTAATTTTCTTTCTAGTTCTGTCACTAAAGATGAAATCTATGATAAATAATCTCTTAAAATTTGCCTGGGGGGCTCCGTCAGTTAAGTGTCTGACTTTGGCTCAGGTCATGATCTCCCGGTTCATGAGTTCGAGCCCCGCATTGGGCTCTGTGCTGACAGCTCAGAGCCTGGAGCCCGCTTCGGACTCTGTGTCTCCCCCTCTCTCTCTGCCCCTCCCCCGCTCATGCTCTGTCTCTGTCTCTCTCTCTCTCAAAAATAAATAAACATCAGAAACATTTTTTTTTAAATTTGTCTGGGACAGTGTCCCAATTGCCTGCCTGTTCCCCTGCTTCTCCACCATAGATCTTTCTAGAAACCTGGGACAGGTTACTTGGCCTGAGGCTCCTGCTCACCATCATGAAATCCTGGAGGATCTTCCTACACACGCTCTTTCCACAGGCATCTTCGGCACTTTTTCTTTTCTTTTTTTTCTTTTAGAGATGACAGAGAAAGAGAGAGAATCCTAAGCAGGCTCTACACTCAGCACAGAGCCCAACACAGGGCTCAATCCCATGACCCTGGGATCATGACCTGAGCTGAAATCAAGAGTCTGACATTCAATCCACTGAGCCACCCAGGCACCCCCAGCACTTTTACTGTTTGAGTCCCCCTCCCTTTCTTTCTTTCTACCAATAACGAGGCCTAGTTGTTCATCGATACTCTTGGACAATAATTTTCATCTCTGTATACCTTTAGTAGCTCGCTTCAGTCACTGGCTGCTCTTCAAACACGTGACCTGAAAATATTTTTAAAAGCAGAGAAAAATGTTTCTCTAAAGAGTCTAAATAGAAACGCGAAGTGAGATTTTCACACACGACCCGTGATTTCTTTCTTCTTTTAAACATTCAGAAAGATGTGAGTCTTCATCGACTTCGAGGATTAAAGGGCGCTAAAGAACTCTAACCAAACGGATTTCGTTGAAAGCTGTCTTCTTCTCTTCTCTCAGCCCACCAGAAGGCTGACCTGTTCATCTCTAGGTTAGAAGGGAACCTTCCGATTGCATCCGTGGTCACCTGAAACGTGGAGAATCCGCTATGAGAAAACCCGGTGCTAGAAAAAAATAATTCTACTTTTCTTTTTACACATAAATCCAAAATAATTAGGCTTTTTTTTTCAGTGTCTCCTCAGAGGAGGTTCTTTTTAACCGTTTTGTCCTTGCCTACCTATTTCTTATAGCTACCACAGACATTCTCAACATGGGGAAACGGTATTGCCCCCGAGAGGACAAAACTTGGTTCTTGAGGAGGCAAAAAAACTTACTCTGATTGTGTGTGAAGCACAGATATACACACATAAACGGATACACAGGACCTCTGTGGGATTGAAATTTATGGGGGGGGGGATCAATTAAAAAAAAAGTCTGAAAAGACTCCTTTCAGGGGGCAGTCATGAGAAAAGGGGCTGAGAAACTGATCTGTCACGTCTTATCGTTGGTTCCTCCTCCCCCCTCCACACTTCAGCTTGCCTTTAGTTACCTTTCGTGGTCCTGCCTGTATTTTCCAGATCTGTCTAAACTTCTTTTCCTGGTCTCCCCAGTTTGGCCCTCACCAGTTTTCTCCCCTCTCCAGTGCGATCCACTGGAGCCTCATACTGATCTTCCTGCCTCCTCGAGGACTTGTCCCCCCCCCCCCCACCTTCTCATCTTTGAGCTGTGCCTCTCTCTGTTGGGAGTTCCGTGTGGTCTCCCCTCCAGGTTCTACAGGCCAGCCTCGTCCTCGTCCCTGTGTGGGAACAACCATGAGCCAAGAAGCAGGATGGGGGCTGGGATATTCTGTCCAACTAAAGGTGAGGTGTGTTTTAGGATGTGAAGAGATTGAATTCAGCCAACTCATCTTCAGAGAAGACTTCCTCAGGGACAGCTACTTTGGGGACCACCTGCGAGGTCAGATCGCCACGGAGGAGCTGCACTTTGGAGAAGGGGTCCACCGGAAAGCCTTCCGCAGCAAAGTGATGCAGGGCCTCATGCCCGTCTTCCAGCCTGGCCACGCCTGCGTGCTCAAGGTGCACAACGCTGTTGCCTACGGGACCAGAAACAACGATGAGCTCATCCAGAGGAACTACAAACTCGCTGCCCAGGTGGGTCCACCTGCCCTACAGAGTCACGTGGGGTGTGAGGGGGGGACCCACGAGAGCCTGAGATGAAAGTCAGACTCAGAATTGTTGGGAGTGTCTCCAAGAGGGTGTTTCTCTCCCTTTGGGGTGTGGCTGTAAGGGAGCCCCCGGATCAAGCCCGAATGCTGGGAACCATGTCTGAGTTCTCGGGGTAATTTCTTGCCCTCATGCCAGCCGGATGGGACTCACCCTGTGTCTGGAGGCCCCTCACCGGCTCTGACCTGGGCTGGGATCATTTCTGTTTCTAGGAAGCCCCATGAGGTCCTTGAGTCCACTCAGACATGGGATGATGTGGAAGGTGGGGGGTCCAAGCTACAGGGGATGCCAGGATTCCCAAGCATCCCCAAGGGCATAGTTTCTAGATTCCTGTTTACTTTATGGAAGGGGGTGGGCTATATTCAGAGGGGGCAGCAGGTGTCCTGTTTCTTGCCTTCCTGAGTTTGGGTCAATGTTAGCCTATAAGCTATGAAGGGAGACCGATCCAAGGCTCTAGCTAAGCTCCCGTCTCCCTGTGTTATTGAGTCACAGAACCTTGAGACAAGAAGAGAACACGGGCTTCCCTCCCTGCCTCCCAGTTTGGTCTGTGTATTTCACTCTTGACACCAAGAGTATCGAGAGCCTGACCCAGAGCAGTGGCCAAGCCTTCAGGACAGCTGGGTCTAGCTCTTTCGCAAGCTAGGCACCCTTCTAAAATTATTACCTATAAAATGAATAGGTTATACTTCAGTGAATCTCTCAGGTGCCATCAAGCACTAGCCCTCCAGGATTGTCTTAGGTGTGGTGAGGTCCGGTGGGACTTGGGGCCCATGAAGGCAGCCCCTCTTTTGAGTACAGAGTTTTGCCAGTCGTATTCCTTCCTCCTCCAAGTCAACCCTTCTTTTTTCTTTTCTTTCACTACGTATTTTTTCCATCTCAAGTACCATCTGGTCCAGTCAGGGAAAGCCCCCAGCGTCCACACTCCCTCTTGAAAGACCCCACTGAGTAGAAAGCAGAATCCAGTTTGCCCTTTCCTAAGCCAACAGTGTTGCCAAGGTGTTGGCTACCCACAACTCTAATTACACCTTTGAAGAAGAGCTTCAGATGGGAGAGCTCAGCACACCCCGAGCTGTGCCCGACATCCTGCCATGGGGCCAGTCCCCTTAGCCCAGGATGAATTTCAGCCATGTGCGTTCTAGAAATTTGATAGTTCAGGACGCCTGGTCCTAGAGACCACTTGAGCTTTACCTGGATAGTTCCTTCGAGTCTCAGAGTTCTCTGCAAGTGGACAACTCGAGTCTGCAATAATTGTTGCTTCTGTGCCTGCAACCAGGGGGTGGGTTGGGGAATCCACTGGCTTGACTTTTTATTGGGAAGTCTGATTAGCTTTACCGGCAACTCTGAATTTCTTCTACTCACTTGTCTTTCCCTTGTGTTTGGGTGATGTAGGAATGCTATGTCCAAAATACTGCCAGATACTATGCCAAGATCTATGCTGCCGAAGCACAGCCTCTGGAAGGCTTTGGAGAAGTGCCAGAGTGAGTGTGTTTACTGTCTCTTGTATTATCACCCTGGTTTCTTGGGGACTTGGAGGGATGAGAGGGTGAGAAGGACCAGTGGGACAAGCATTTTGCCTGGTCTCTCTGTCTGGAAGCCATGAGGCCACACTGGGCTGCTATCCTGTTCCTCTCTAGGTTGCCAGAGGCATATAGAGAGATACTTGATAAATATTCTTTAAATCAATGGATGGATGGATGGATGGATGGATGGATTTGATAAATGTATCACAGTAAATAGAAAATAATTCGATAGAAATAGAAAATGAATTTGATAAATGTAGCACGTTAAATAAAAAGTAAAGAGTATCTACTTCATGGCAAACAATAAGCAAAGAAAAGAGAACACAAGAATATCACAAAACAATTACCCTATGATGAAAATAAAATATGGTGCCATGTCTACGAAGAATGAATTGGGTATCAGGAGCGTAGGAACACAGTACCCATTTCCTGGAACCCTACAGAGATAGATTACAGTGATTACTTTTATCCACTCATTGGCTAAATATTGACTGAGTCATGCGGATTTTTGGGTGTCTGGAGCTTCTGGTTACTAGTGGGTTTATCTGGTCGAGATCATGTTTAAGTGGGAAGAGAAAGAGCCAGGACACGTTGGAAATTTCAGACACAACAGTCATTTATGTATCAGTAGAAACTGGGAGAGGAAAGAAGGAAGGAATCGTTGCTTACATTGACCCTGTGGACTCACAATGGGGGAAAATACTCTCCCTGAGGTGGGGTGTTGGGCATATTATATATAAAGTCTAATGCTTTCTGCTCTTTGCCAAGAGATGCTTAGCATACTTAGAACACAAACATTTCTCAGCAACTTCAAGAAAAATGAACATGCTGCAGAGAAAATACACAATTGCTTTTCTGTTCAATCCACTCAGGCAGCAATCCGGAGTGAGTTATAGTTTTGTGTTACAGGAACTTGTGCATTCTCTGTCTTCTCCGGCCCCCTTTATATAGTCCCTAACCCTAGAATTCTTCTCCAGGAGGAAGAGGGTCAACCAGGTGAGCTGTCCACAATGCACAGAGCCCTCTGGTTTTGTGTGGCTTGACCCTACAGTTTGGGGGCTTTCTCAAGAAAAAAGCACAAACTTATGAATAACAAAGATTGGCGAAGGGACTTGGAAAGGGCCTGTGCATGTGAGGGACACAGGGGCTAATTAGCATCATCAGCGCCCCCACAAATGTGCCACCGGCCTAAAGATAGATTAGGACATCTTGCTACGTAAACACCTTTCCCTTCCATACAGTGGAAGAATTTTGTGGGTGCCTGAATAATAACAAACATACGGAAGGATGGGGGTCCTCACAGAGGCCTCTGCTCCCAATTCCATGTTCACTGAATCAAGATCAGAGGATTCGACACCAGGAAACACGCACATACACACACACACTGCCTTCTTCAAGGCCTCTACACTTGAGACCATGTGAGAAAAGATGAACACAAGCAGATTTTAGAGGAGATAGCACCTGAGTGTGATTGTGTACGTGTCAAAGTGGGAGGATTCAGATGCTTATCAGTTTCAAGATGCTTCTGTGTGCAGGGACCACCAAGACGCTTCCACCTGGGCGTGGCGGTGAAAATGGGGGACAGAACAATGGTGGGGGCATCAGGGCTGGCCCCCAGAAGAAGAGGTCCATGAAAGAGGAGGTCCAGAGGCTGGATGTGGTGAGACCAGTCGGAGAGGTGTTGCTACAGCCCAGGGAAGGGGCAGTGGAGGTAGAACGTGACCACTGGCCATGGGGAGTTTGAGAGGAGAGAAAGGGCTCTTGGGATATTCATTCAGTAAGTAGGTGCAATTAACAAACTTGATATAGGGAATAAGAAGAGAGAGGAGGTTGAGTATAAATCCAAGCTTTTTTAATTGAGAAAACTAAAAGCCATCAGAATGAGTGACCTTAGCAAGCAGGATTTTTGTAACATGAGGGGTACTGGGTCAAAGAGTACGTTGGAATTAGGGCCATGGATACAAATGGAGTCACTCGTCCAAATGGTGACAGAAGTGAAGGAAGCCAGGGAAGGAGAATGAAATGTGAGGGCAGAGACCCATCAATGGAAGGCGATGATCGACGATCGTAGTTTTTTTGGTTTTTTTCCCCAATATATGAAATTTATTGTCAAATTGTTTTTTTTCAATATATGAAATTTATTGTCAAATTGGATCGTAGTTTTTAAAATGAGGAGGTGTGACCGTGTTTGTAGCCTTGGGGCAGAGAGAGGAAACAAAGAGTCAAGGTGATAGTAGCCAATAGAAGACAAAACTTGAGACCTGGTGTTGGCAGATGTTCTCTGTAAAGGGCCAGATCATTACTCTTTTAGGCTTTGTCGGCCAGTAGGCAAAATAGAAGCCATTATGGGGTGCCTGGGTGGCTCAGTCAGTTAAGCGTCTGACTTTGGCTCAGGTCATGATCTTGCAGTTTGTGAGTTCGAGCCCCACGTCGGGCTCTGTGCTGACGGCTCAGAGCCTGGAGCTGCTTCGGATTCTGTGTCTCCCTCTCTGTCTGCGCCTCTCCCATTTGCACTCTGTCTCTCTTTCCCAAAAGTAAATAAACTGTAAAAAAATTAAAAAAAAGAAGCTATTATGTTGATACTTGCGTAACAAGAAAGAAAACCAGTATCTACAAATCTTGGTTGATAAGTTTCAAGATATAATAATAATTGAATTCAATTCTTTAGTATATAAGTTTACTAATGAGAAGAATGGAATTCTTTTTTTTTTTTTATTTTTTTAAATGTTTATTTATCTTTGAGAGAGAGGCAGAGCACAAGTGGGAGAAAGGTAGAGAGAGAGGAGACAGAATCTGAAGCAGGCTCCTGGCTCTGACCTGTCATCACAGAGCCTGATGCGGGGCTTGAACTCACAAGCTGTGAGATCATCATCTGAGCCGAAGTCAGAAGCTTAACTGACTGAGCCACCCAGGTGCCCCTGGAATTCTTTTTTTAAGTAACAGTTTGCTAACTTAAAAAAATTTTTTTTAATGTTTATTTATTTTGAGAGACAGAATGTGAGCAGGGGAGGGGCAGAGAGAGAGGGAGACAGAATCTGAAACAGGCTCCAGGCTCTGAGCTGTCAGCACAGAGCCTGACATGGGGCTCGAACCCATGAACTGCGAGCTCATGACCTGAGCCAAAGTTGGTCGCTCAACTGACTGAGCCACCCAGGCGCCCCATTTTGCTAACTTTTTAAAGCAACTTTGCTTACCCTTGGGGTTCAGAGTTAGTGTTCCCCTCTGATCACATCAATTCCAAATATTCGTGTGTGAAAACCATTCTTGGCTTGTGGGCTGTAAACAGGCATCGGACCGGAGTTGGCCCACAGGCAATGGTTTGCGGACCCTGTGCCTCTCCGCAGTGAGTAGCAGCCGAGGCGGATTCAGGCACATCCTTCCACGAGCTCTGATACGATTTCTTCCTTGCTCAGTGATGAATGGGAATGGCCAGCTGTGACTTCACATCCTGCTCGGTGCAGAGTAGCTGTGTTTGGGGGGGTGGCAGTGCGTCCCTGGGGTGGAACTCAGGGAGAAGCGTCAGGAAGCTTCAGTTCAGGTAGGGTGGGGGGGGAAGCGGGGACCAGGAGGAGCGGCTCAGGTTGGCTTGTGTGCGTGCGTGAGTGAGCAGGAGGGACACGAAGCTAGGGGCGATGCTCCCCCGCTTTGCTCCCCCGCTTCGCCTCCTACCAGCTTATTTCTACTCGGTCTTTACCACTCGCGTGCCACTGCACTGCTCCTGGAGAGCCTGCTGCCTATCTTCCTTAGTTAAGAGTAGGGAGCTGGAAGCTTCTCCAGGGTGCACCCTTCCCAGCGGTTGTCCCTGCAAAGCAGGGACCGTGTCTCTTTCATGTTCGCTCTCCTGGTGAGGTTTTTGACATTCTGGCACAAGCTGTTCAGTAGACGCTGTCGGATGAACGGAAAGGGAGGGTAAGTCGCCAGCCACCGAGCCAGGAGTTGGGGGACACGTGAGCAGTTCAGTTTGGGCTCTGTTAGATTTGAGATCCCTAGGAGACATCGATCGGAGACAGAGAGGAGGAGGCCGGAATGTGAGTGGGGGAGAGGGGAGAGGTCTGGATGGAGATTTCAGGGTGGAAATTGTCGACATACAGACCGCATTTCAAGCCAGGAGGTCACTAGCCGGTGTGGGCAGAGACAGGAGAGCCATCCCGGGGCGTGTCAGAGGTTGGGGAGAAGTGAGAAGCCAGTGAAGGAGCCAGGGAAAGAGGAAGCAATGAAGCAGGAAGAAAACCAAGAGGAAGGGAGTTTCTGGAAGCAGTGGGAAGGGGACTCCGAGAGATCAGCCGTGTCAGGCGCCCCTGAGAGCAAGTAAGACGAGGGCCGAGAAGAGAACGTTAGACTCTGCAACACAAGCTGCTGGTGCCCTTGACCGAAGCTTCCTTAGTGGGAGAGCATCTCTGAGTGGGTTCAAGAGACAAAGGGAGGGGAGGGATGGCAGACGGTGAGTCTGCAACTGACCTGGGTTTTGACGTCAACTGAGTCGGTAGTTGAGTGGGTTATGGGCCCCACGGGCTGCCCGGAGCTATTTCAGCAAGTCGCTATGCCACTGGCAGCGAGTCGGTTTCCCAGAGGAAAATGGGATGCACGAATGTGGGGAATTGCTTGCAAGAGCCACATCCTGGGGCACCAGAGGGGTCGGGCAGATCCAGGGCACCCGCGGAAGAAGTGGTTTGGGGTGGGGGGGGAGCCAGGAGGCTTCGTCCACAGTGGGGGAGGGGAGGGGAATATACGGGCACAGACCGAGGAGGCGGGACCGTGCAGCTCTTAGAAGCTGTCTTCTTACTGTTGCAGCCTTCACAGTAAAACAGGAAGCGAGGTCATCAGCTGAAAGTGAGGTTGGGGAGGAGGTGCGGGCAGTCGGAGGACGGAAGAGCAGGTTTGACATGGTCATGGTGGTGGTGGGAGGGTGGGGTGACCGTGAACGGATTGTGCTGACAGCCACATTCCGGATCTGATCACCTCTCCACTGGAGCTGCCTTCGCGACCGGGCGGCCTCCTCACCGGCCTCCCTGCTCCTGTCCTTAACTCCTGCACAGTCCCGTCTCCACAGGGTCATCCGCAACACAGACGTGTGATAACGGCAATCCTTTGTCCAAAACCGTCCGGTAGCTCCTCATCCAAAGGGATGTAAAGGGGAGAGTTTTTCAAACGGCCTTCCAGACCCCACAAGGTCCGGCTTCCTAAGCCCTCCCTGGCCTCACGCAGCTACTCCTATCTCCCCTTTGCTGACTCTACTCCAGCCACACACTGGGCCCTTGCTGTTCTTAGAACACACCCAGAATGCTCCTGCCCCGGCCTTTTCCCTTTATTGTTCCTTCTACTTAGAATGCTCTTCCCATAGATGCCCTCACGGCTCCCTAGCTCCCTTCCTACAGGTCTCTGCTCAAACGTTCTTCCTTAGCAAGGCCTCTCTGATCTCCCTCAGTCAAATAGCAGCCCTTCCCTGACCCCTGCGCTCCCTAGCGCTTTTTCACTGCTTTGTTTTCTCACGTAGCACACGTACGTATTTGTTGCCCGATCCTTGCGGGGTGCCTGGGTGGCTCAGTCGGTTGAGTGTCGGACTTCGGCTCAGGTCACGATCTCGCGGTTTGTGAGTTCGAGCCCCGCGTCGGGCTCTGTGCTGACGCCTCGGAGCCTGGAGCCTGCTTCAGGTTATGTCTCTCCACCTGTCGGCCCCTCCCCTGCTCATGCTCTGTGTCTCTCTGTCTCTCAATAATAAATAAACGTTAAAAAAAATTAAATGTAAGATCCTTGAAAGCAGAGCCCCTGTGTTCTTCACTGTTTTCTGGAACGGCATCTGGAAGACTGACCTGGAAACCACTGAATAAGTATTTGCTGACTGAATGGAAGGGAGGAAGGGAAGAAAAGGATATGATGGGTGGACACATGGCTGCCGGGCCACTGAGATATGACTGTAATGAAAACATTCGTTTGTACGTGGGCGATTAAACTCCACCCCCCAGGAGGAGTTTCTGACCAACTCTAGGAACAAATGAAAACCAGAAATACATCTTTTCACCTGTTGAACGATCATTGTGGTGAGGGGTTAGCCTACATCTAAGGGGACCCAAGGATTGGTTCCGCAGCTCCCTGCTAATCCAAGTGAAGACAGAACACCACCACCCCCCCCTCTTTGTTACCACCTGAGAATGTGACATGTGCCCATGCTGTCTTTTCTTCCAGGATAATCCCTATTTTTCTTATCCACCGACCGGAGAACAACATCCCTTATGCCACAGTGGAGGAGGAGCTGATTGGAGAATTTGTGAAGTATTCCATCCGGGACGGGAAGGAAATAAACTTCTTGAGAAGAGAATCAGAGGCTGGTCAGAAGTGTTGCACCTTCCAGCACTGGGTATACCAGAGAACAAGCGGCTGCCTCCTGGTCACGGACATGCAGGGTGAGGAAAGCAGCCTGCCCCGGGCTCCAGGGATGCTGTGGACCTGGAATGTTCCTGGGGATGTGGCCAGGGGGAGGCGGGGAGGTCTGCTGCATGTCTTTAAGAGTCTTTACCAGCAGAGGGTGTTACTAATATCTCATCAGAAACAGGGTCTGACAGGGGTGCCTAGGTGGCTCAGTTAGTTCAGCATCCGACTTCAACTCAGGTCGTGATCTCATGGTCCATGGGTTCAAGCCCCACATCGGACTCTATGCTGACAGCTCAGAGCCTGGAGCCTGCTTTGGATCCTGTGTCTCCCTCTCTCTGCCCTTCTCCCACTTGTGCTCTGTCTCTCAAAAATAAATAGACATTAAAACACACACACACACACACACACACACACACACACACACAAACAAGGTCTGACAAAGGAATCTGAAATGACCAGCCAAATGGAGTAAAAAAGTACATTTTAATTCATGCCAACAATGCTTTCCTATTACCACAGGCAACTAAAGATTGGCTTTATTGTTATGTCCTCAACAGGTGCAATTCAGAAGTATTTATGAAAATCTGGCTGTTCCAAAAGACAGATTAAATTGTTTTTTTAATTTTTTTAATTAAAAACTTAAAAAAATTTTTTTTTTAATTTTGAGACAGAGAGAGAGCAAGTGGGGGAGGGCAGAGAGGAAGGGAGACAGAATCCCAAGCAGGTTCCGCACTGTCAGCGCAGAGCCCCATGTGGGGCTCGAACTCATGAACTGTGAGATCATGACCTGAGCCGAAGTCAAGAGTTGGACACTAACCGATTGAGCCAGCCAGGTGCCTGATAATTCATGGGTAGTAGGTGAGAGGGTCTTTCACGGTTCGGTTTAGATTTCAAGCTCCCCTAGCTCATTTACGGCACCTTGAATTTGTATACAAACTGATGGGAGTGCATTTGTCGCATGCAGTGGCGTTATCATAATTAGGTTACCCACAGAGATGGCCCTGAGCCAAGTTGCGGTTTGGGGTCCCCCAAGAGAGGTGCCATGTTTTTAGAGGTTACCTCTCAGGAGTTGGGCAAAGATTGGACCTCTATTTGGGTAAGGTGAATCCTTCACTGCCACAAATGTCCAGATACTAATATTTGGGACAGCATCCCAGGAAACACCTAGGAGAGTGCAGAAATGTGACAGGCCGTGGGAAGGCGGCCAGTAAGGTCCCTTAGAATACGACCAGTTCCCTCTGTGGGTTGCTGAAGCTCATGCCTGCTGGGGAGACGCTGGGAGCCTGTACAGAGCACGCTTCTCGGAACTGTCGCACCCAAGGAGCGAGGGACTGGGGGTATTTGCACACCCACTGCCTGTAGCTACCAGTGGAAGGGTAGTCCTGGCGGGGGTGTTAATTCCTCTGCACTTGCCACCTGCACGGGGACAAGCCAGGCTGAGCAAAGCAGGCTCCCGTGATCAGAGAAAGTTCTCAGGCAAAGAAATGCTGGTGGCCCGTGGAGGTGGAGCCAGTGTGCACGGAAACAGGGTGAGGGCACTGGGTGGGGCAGGAACGGCTTCTACCACAGGGGGTTTCCTTTTCCTCTTCCTTTCCAAATAATCATGCCGTGAAGAAAAATCCGAACTATAATTGCATGCCCGCTGTAGGTCAGACGTGGTCACACACGAGGATCTCAAGCTCTACCTAGATCATGGTGCTAAAGAGCGAGACCGCGTCTGGGTTCTGTCCCCTCCGCCCCCCGCCCGCCCCCAGCTCGCTAGCTCTTAGCCTTGGGCAGATTACTTACCTCTGTGCCTCAGTGCTTTACACGTGGGGTTGTTGTGAGCATTAAATAGAATAGTAAACTTTTGGCACAGCACTGCCGCATCATAAGTGCTCCCCATTTATTTTAAATTTTTATTTTGAAATAACCAGAGACACAAGAAGTTGCAAAAATGTTCAGAGAGTTCCCCGTGTGCCCTTCACCCAGCTTCACCTACTGTTAACGTCTTACGTGACTCTCGTTCAGTGTCAAAACCAGGGGACTCGCACTGGCACAATAGAATTAACTAGGCTATGCACCGTGCTTGGAGGTCACCAGTTTTTGTATGTCTTCATTTTTTCCGACGACTTTTGTGCCATCTTCATAATGACCCTGCAAAGCACATTATGATCCCATTTTGCAGATGAGAAAACAGAGGCTCAGAGACGGTGCTTTAATTGCCTGCTGTCACTCTGCTAATAAGCAGAGGGGTCCACGACTCCACCCCTGTGCTTTCTGACTCCAAAACCCAAGCTCTTTCCACTAAACCACAAATCTGCCAATTTGCAAGAGATTGGCAAGCGTCTCCTGATGTTAAAGCTTCCAGGGAAGAACTTCTTGAAGACCAGCTGGGAAATGCAATGCTACAGTCTCGCAGATGGGGCCAGTCTGCATATTGAAGGCAGTCATGTCTGCTCACTTTCTGAAGAGACTTCACTGCCACATGCACACACACACACACACACACACACACACACACACACACACGGTCTTAATACACAGCTATCTATTCTCATTAGACACTGGCTGTGCAATTCTTGCTGGCCCCTCCATCTTTTCTCCTTCAGAGTTAATTTCGCGATAAATATCGTTCTTCTGGCGAAAAGCAACACCCTGGAGCTTCATGCACAGCTAGTTTCGCTTCCAGGCACTTGTAAACAAGTGTAGTGAAATGTTACGTCTCTCTGTAAGTGACATGTGCGGTTTAATGTGTTGGCACAGTGTATCATAACAATGTTTATTTACTCTCTGCTTCTGAGGAAAATGTCTCTCTAGTCATCATTGCTGTGCACAAGGTAGCACATGCATTTTTTTTTTTTAACATTTATTTATTTTTGGGACAGAGAGAGACAGAGCATGAACGGGGGAGGGGCAGAGAGAGAGGGAGACACAGAATCGGAAACAGGCTCCAGGCTCCGAGCCATCAGCCCAGAGCCTGACGCGGGGCTCGAACTCATGGACCGCGAGATCGTGACCTGGCTGAAGTCGGACGCTTAACCGACTGCGCCACCCAGGCGCCCCTAGCACATGCATTTTCTAAATAACCTGTGCATTTTATAATTTTACTGAGACACTGGAATTAGGATGGAAAAACTAAACAAAACCCCAAGCAAACCTGAACTCAACTATTACCTTCTTGGACTCTTTTTTTTTTTTTT